TGACTGACACAGACTAGGCAATATGGCCTTAATGTTACGCAACATAAAAAATAACAGATTGACACATTGTACCCACCATCCTATATGAAGGTAAAAAAATGAAGGTAAGAACACTGAAGTACTGAGACCTGTATCAGCTGATGATTTGTAGGCTCACAATAAGAAGATAAAGATAAGGGTTATTCAACATAAGCTGAGAATAGTCCTTATCTTTAGCCAACCAACATATCATCAACTATTACAGGTCTCAGTACTTCAGTGTTTTTGTCTTATTTTTTTTTACCTTGATATTGTATATTGGGTACAATATGTGCCAATCTGTTATTTGTTATGTCACCTAACAATGTAGGCCACATTGCCTAGTCTTTGTCAGTCACTCTGCATGTCAGTCCCTTAAATGTTTTTTGTCTTTGTCTTTTTAAACTAACTATTTTTTGAAAGTAAATTTATCAATTATTCCCCAGAAATGTGAAGACATAGTGAAAAACTAAGGATAAACTATGTCACTGAATTATTTCAGTGCATGTAAATGCTAGACATCAGTTATTCACTGAGGTAACAAAAGGTAAACAGTGCAGAAGAGGGTAAACAACTTCTGAAATGCTTACTTGTTAGAAACTGATGCTAAATATTCCTAGTTCAGACTTGGATTTGGACCAAAATCCTTTTGCTTTGAGTGACTTTATCCCTTAATCATGTTTTTTTATTAAAACAAATTATTGAACATCCATGATTGAATATTTGTCACTACCAAAACCAAAACAATCATAAGACAATCAAAATCAAAACTTTACCAAACCATAGACAAGTTTTATTCACTTGAATCCTTTCAGTGAAGTAACGATCGTTTTACTTGAGTAAGGATTTAGGCTCTTCTACCCACTTCTGTTTAAGACATCAGAGCAAAAATTCTCAGAAGACTTCTGTGACATAAATATGAATAGGCCCAAACTAAGCTAATGATGAATTAATGAATTTATAAGCAAGACTATCAGAAGTTCAGTAATAGTTGGAAGGACCTCAGAGGTTTTCTGGCTGCAGCTAAACACTGAAAATCATTTGACTCCTATGGTATAATGCCATAATCAGACTTAAATCATGTTTTAAATATGCAAAGCTTGAGTCCTTGACTGGCCTAAACTCACAGGGCTTAGAGACACTACAGCTGTAAAGCTCTGACCTCACAGTGATTTGATTTGATTATGACTCCATAGGATTTCACCATTATTCAGTTTGTTTTGTTTATGTTTATACAATTTAGAATAGTTTTTAAAGGTACAGTGAATACACAAGTGTGGCTGTGACTTAAAACAAGACAATAAAACAATGCATCAAGCATTTTTTGTATTTTTATATTACAAAATAGCCTGGAAATTTTATTTTGGTCAAAAGCAAATTAGCTAAGAGAACTATTGAAATTTTGATTAACATTTACTTAACAAGTTATAATTGTTTTTAAAATTAGTTGCTAGTTGGCTTGACATAATTTGATTTGTGATTATGGTGTAAATTAAATTTTAAGTTTTAAATTGCATTGACAATTTTGTACACCAAAACATGCTAAGGCGTTATATTTGGTGTATAGATGAATTAGTGAATATGGTACTTGAGATTCAAATACGATGAAACATTTTTAGGCTTTTAGTTGTTCTACTGCATATGTGAATTCAGTACTAAAATGCAAGAGTTATTTCAGTTTAACCTTGTCTGCCAGATATAGATTTCACTCCACATTGCAATCACTGCTGGCTGTATTTATTTGGCAGCAGAGCAAGCTGTCAAGGTGAAGTTCCAAAAATATCACACACAAAAAAAGTTTACTTACTGGTCTTCTGACATTGTGTTGTCTGGCTTGCAGAATAGCCAGTGTCCAAACTGGATACCGTGTCAAATGTTCTGCCTTTGGTTAGGTAATCACAAGTGTGTAGCAATCCTGTTTCAAAGATCTCACTGGTTTCATGTGATATCTGAATGCAAAATGGTTCTTTATTTGACCTACAGTAGGGTGTAACAGGCAATAGCTTTTGTCCCACCTAGTGAACCTACTTATAGAATACTTTTTTCGATTCAGCCTGTGTGATATAAGGTGGGTATGTGATGTTAAGGATACTGTGGCTCATCGCTTTATCACTAGCTAGATTATGCATCGGACCATTCTTATTTCTTCTGATATAAGACAGAGACTTCAGGGGTTGGGAAGATTAATTTTAATATGTCTGGTAGGGTTGGCTTGATAGACAGTGCCATTGTATGTCGTTAAAGGCTGTCAGACATCACCATCATGATGTCACAACCCCCTGTCACTCTGCTCCTATTACACACCGTTTACATGCTCTGGCTGAATTTAGCGAGGTTTTTTTAGCGTTTGAGAGTAATACTGCCAGAAACATTATAAGAGGAGAGGAAGTTGAAAATGAATGGAATAGCCCATAACGCTCAGCATGACAGTTATATTACAGAGCGTCCCACCCATCAACAAAAAAAGCCAATCACCTTGCTAATTAATTAATAATGGTGTAAACAGGAAAAGCACCCTATTTGTTGTAGAGATATGCACATGCATAGTAGCCAGAGCAGCCTGAAAAAATCATTATTTGAGTGATTTTTGCAAGTGATTTCAAATGTTTTTGAAACGTTAAATTGGTTTTCAGTGTCAGCGTTATAAGTATCAAAGAGATCAAAGAGAAAGGAGCCTGAAGTGGGAGTAACTACCCATCTGTGTGCCATGATGGCCACTGTGTCAACAGGCTTTTCTTTTATGAATTTCATACTGCAAACACTTGTTTTTCAGTCTGTGTTTTATGTTTTTTTTCTTTTACTGAAGTGGATTAAAGTAACTTTCTTCTCATACTAAAAAACACATTGCATTACATAGCTGCACCATTTGCACCTCCAACGGCACGTGAGTTTTAAGTGAACCTTAACTGCAGGCTTCTAGTGCTAAACAATAAGAGAGAAGAATTAAAGAGAGGATCTTTAGCCAGCTGTGTGTATGGGTATATATGCATGTGGGAATTCTGTTTCCATTTACACTAAAAAAATGACTCCCACTGATTTCGCGAGAGCAGGCGCGAGTGCTTCTAACTTGTTATTCTTACCACTATCTAGCATTTGTACAAACCCTACCCCTACACTGGGATTAGCTAGTAGTTTCCCACATCCTGTGATAGGATTACTTATTAGTGTCCTGCATTCTGTGCTAGGATTGGCTATTAGAATCCTGTCTCCTGCGCTGTGATAGGTAGAAAAAGTAGTAGTCCGTGTTCTGTGCAGTTTGACTAATAGTATTCTGTGTCTGGAAAGAGGACTGATTAGTAGCTCAAACTCACAAGCAGTCTGCCGGACAGTGAAATAACTGTTAGCCAATCTCAGTTTGTCACAATAATATATATATATATATATATATATATATATATATATATATTATATATATATATATTTTTGGCAAGTTGTAACTGACGCATTGCATCAGTAACTATATTTAAGAATGCTATCAAAATTAGTACAATGATTATTACTGTTATTATTGTTGTTAACAGTTCATATACTGCACTGAACTAAATGTGATGATAGTGATGAAACATGCAGTTGATCAATGTTCCAGTTCTGATGATGGGCTCAGAACAATGTATTGTGACATATCACATAAATTATTGTCATACTGTCCACCCCTACAAAAAGCCTTTGATCATTACATGATTACATCCGTGTTTTGTGTTTTGGAAATGGTGTGCAGAATTAGTAAGTTATAGTGCAGCCTGAGTAGGAATGATTTTTTCTGAATCAAGAAAGTGCAGTCTGGTGAATAAAAAGAGGAGGGAGCTTTTGCATATTAAAATTTATTTAAGGCAATTATTAGAGACATTTCAAAGCCTTCAAAAAACCTTTCTTGGAAAATCTGACTTAGATCAGTAGGCCTACATTTTCTTGTGAAGTTATACATAAGCTGACTACAAATGAGGAAAAGGTCAAGCACATATTTGCACAAACACACATACAATCATACATGCAGACCTATATTAGTGCATCAACAAAAAATTACTACAATCTGTTGCTATAGATTCTGTTGAACAGATGTGTAAATGTCATTCTTTAAACAAACTGGGCGTTTTTTAGTCAGTTTATTAGTATTAAGTGGCTAGATTTTTTTAGATGATGATCTCTGAATTACTGCACGGTGGATAAAGGCCTCGGTATACTTTCGGTGAAACAAAGCTTGTGAGGTTTGTGCAAAGCTGAAACACCTTTGCGAGCTTACAAGCTTCCATACTCTCTGCGAGAGTATTTAGTTTGTCATGTAAGAGCCTCTTTTACACCGACCAATCACAGGCTTTGTCATTTGGTGTGTTCGTCCACGGAGTTCATCCAGCTGCCTTGTGCGCAATGTGTTCATTTTCTCCCAATTACATCATATTGTTCACCAAAGCCAGTCGAACATTGTCTCCGCAAGAAGTGTACCGAGGCCTTAAGACTCCAGACTGTTCTGCTGTCATCTTGAAGTTCCTGTATTCAGCTGCACACTCAGAGACCTCTAGAAACACATTACAAACACAAAGCTGCATATCTCTGTGATAATTCTGCATGCTTTGGAAACCCTTCAGATGCCACTATAGTAGATTACAGAAAACAATTTCCAATAGGAATTGGTCTTCAGTACCCACAATGGAGAATCCACCTAATCTGAGTCCATCTCTTGTACCCCTGGGGTCATTTCACTTGATGAACCAATTCAAACAGAGGAGCTGTATGTCAGAGACCGAGAGGGGGACAAGAAGTCACTCCCACCTCGGGAGGCACAAAGACAGAAGACGAGTGTAGAGAAGCAATCACTCTGGCAGTTTCTCATTCATTCTCCCTCAGGATTTTTAACTGTCATGGAAGCCCCATTTTCTTCTCTCATCAATCGCTCTCTTTTTGTTTGTTAAATACTGAATTTTTGAAGTTTGGTGATCTTCACGTAAGGGGAAAAACATATTGGCCCATTGAATGGCACTGCAGAGTCAAGCTTGACCAGGCTTTTTCTGTCCATTGACTATAATCTCTAAAACGTGAGTTAGGTCCATCATCTTGGTGAGCATCTCCATAATGTCAGGATGCTCCTTAGCTCCAGTGATGAACTCCTCCAAAGTCAGCTCACCTAAGACAGAAAGAATCATGCACTGAGACACATATCATTTGGGCCACTTTTGGATTGGGATCTATAGATGAGTGACAAATTAAGTTGAAAACTTAAATTCCTTTTATCTAAACGAGTGGAGAAACATGAGTAGGAGTGTAACAATTGAACCGAAACTGTGATGCAAATGTATAGTGTTGTGGTTCTGTCTTCTGGATACACCCCCTCGCCACACACCTCGTCACGCCATTTTTATTCCACAATTACTACTATAACAGATGTAAATAAAGAAATAATTGTTTTATTTAAAGATATCGAATACTGTATACCATGTTGTCTACTGTTCTTCTCTTTAGTGTTCCAAATTATTGGGGATTTATTTAAATCCAGACATTTTTTCCCTGTTTTTTCTCATTCCCCCCTCCTAGCACATGGTATTAATCCTTACTGTGGCACAAAAATTGAGGTCTGTAGCAAACTATGAATTTGGAGAATTATTACACCCCTAATAATGAGAGCAGATGCTTCCAGACAGATGTACTTCATTATACAATTTAGTTATTAACATCCTACCATAATCTGTAGCATGTATAAAAATGCCTAGCAGGCCTGGGTCACCCCAATTTAGGATCAAGATGTCAAGAGGAAAGGATCTAAGTGACTCTGAAAGGGGGTTCAGTGTTGGGGCATGGATGGCAGGACCTTAAGCCACCAAGACTGGTCAACTGGCTAGTGTTTCAATAGGAACAGTAAGTACAATGCATTTAGATGTATGAGAAAGACATCAGGAGACATAGCTGAAAATTTGGTTGAAAGTGCAGGTTCAAAGACTATGATGCTCATGCATAAATGATATGTGCAGAAAAATAGAAAAACTGCTGTTGCTCAGGTGACTGAGAATGTCAATGCAAGTTGTGAATAGGCATGTCAGCAAGAACAGTTCATCAGCAACTACATAGAGAGGAATATTATAGTAGGGTTGCAGAGCATAAACCCGTCATTACAAAGATGAATGCACATTCAAGAGTTTAGTGGTGCAAAAACCATAGGCACTGGTTAGAGATGTGGAAAACATCTCATCATAGTCCTCCAAGTGGGCGGGTGCATGTATGGTGTACACCAAGAGGCCTGAATGCTTAACCCCAACAGCAAAGGGATCTAGTGACTCTGTTATGCTTTGGGAGACATTTTGCTGACATGGTCTGTTCACTGGATCACCTGGATAAGGCGTGTTAGATTAGCTTTGGAGATAAACTCTGCAGGGTGGGAGATCTCCAGAAACAGGATTGGGCATCCCTGGTTTAATGAGTATGAAAATTATGTAAACCTTTGCAATCACAGACCCAACCCAACTGAACACCTGTGGGAGAATTTGGACTAATGTGTTAGACAGTGCTCTCCACATTCATTGTCAAAACACCAATTGAGGGAATATCTTTAGAAAGAATGAGCTGTTCATCCAGTAGAGCTTCCAAAGACTTGTGGAGAGTTGTGGTGGCCTAGCACTTTACTAGGAGGCTTTATGTTAGCATAGTCTAGGAGTCAACTTAATCAGTGTCTGGAAAACTATGACTTAGAGTGTAGCAAATTTATATTTAAGTGATACCTTCATTGTTGACATCAATCCTTTCATAAATGAGTGTGACGATCTCCTCTGGAGGGACATCGTAGCTACGGGTGATGTCCTGTATGGCCTGTCAAAGAATGAAGAAGGATCAGTTTTGCTCCTGCGTTTCATTTTACTGAGCTATCTTTGCATCTGTGAGCCAGTTTCATCTTTCTAAGTGGGCACTTTCTCTGCTAGTCTTAGTAGTTAATTCAATTAGTCTGATGGTTCCCAACGCTGGTTGTGGAGTACCCCTGCCCTATAATATTTTGGCTTTTTGCTGGCTTTAAAACACCCTATCCAACTAGTTAATAGATAATTAACAAACCCAAAGGGGTGTGTTAGATCAGTGGTTTCCAACTCGGGTCCTGGGAACCCACTGTTCTGTTTCAGGCATTTCACACCTCAACACACATAATCCAGCTCATGAAGGACTTAATAATTACCTAAAGAGTTGGACCAAGTGTGTTGGGAAAGGGGATACATGGAGCAGTGAAAGGCAGTGGGACCCCAGGACTGGAGTTGCAAACCACTGGGTTGGAACAGGAAACATTTAAATGTGCAGGGTAGGGTTTATTCCAGAACCACTGGTTAAGTCAGTTTATCAACAACAGACATGAAAGCAAACAGATCATCATCCATTCATACATTGTTATACAGGGAGATTCACTCGAAAGAGGCCCTAAATATTCTGTAATAACTCTCGCTAGGACAAAGCAATCTGAACAAAACAACATGCAATGTGCTCCTCAGTACATGGAGCTTCAAATAAGCCGGGATGCCCCTGCGGGCATGAGGAAGGTGCCAGACAGCGGTTGCGACGTTTAACCTCCATTTGCAACTTCCAGGTGCGTACCCTCGTACCCTTCATGTGTCTGGCAGGAAAACTGAGATCTCTTCCAGCATTGCATGTAATGCAATCGATTACACATACGTTAAGGTATGTAGCGTATTTTTTGGTTCAGATTGCTTCGTCCTAACGGGAGTTACAACAGAATATTCTCTTTCGAGTGAATCTCCTTGTAGCTTAACCATTTGTTTTGCAAAGATTTTTGAACATCATGATCACTTAAAATCTTTCACAATGTGTTCATAATAGTTTTTGTTAACAATGTTAAAAAACAATATTTATTGTAATGGTCAAAAAGGAAGACATTGGAAGCTTGCGGAAAAACAGAGCTTTCTGAGTTAAGAAACTCATACAAGAAATGCTGACGTGGCATTCTAAGCATAACTGTAATACACTATAACTGGTGACCTGTAATATACAGATATCATAGATGGTGAAAGACTGTCACAGTGTGTGACAGCTGTGTTGTGGACGTTGTGAAGATTCAAACTGGCATTAAGTACATGGCCATTATTAATATGGTATAAAACATGAAATAACATGACCTGTTTATGTACAGTATTTTTAAGAACAAGCATAAATAATTATAAAAAAAATATAATATATAAAAATATAATTCTTCACGGTAAGCAATACTAAAGAAGTTCTGAACGCAGGTGCAGTTGCAAAAAGCCAGCAAAAGACCTTGATGGATTTAGGCTTGGATTAAGAATTGTGGGTGAAAAGATTAAGAGCACTTTGTGGCTGGCAGGATGTGTGAGTGTGTTTGTTGGGGACGGGGAGTGATCAGACCTTTTTTTTGTAACCTTTTCCCAGGCTAATCTCTACCATGACCTACCAAGTCTATTTCTATCACAATAAATCTCCCAATTAACAAAAGAGTTTTAGAACTTGAATTCTTATTATAATGGATCAACCTTAAGTATAATTAACCATTTAAAAATAACAGCAAGGTTTGAGTTAAAATTTGAATTATTGGGATTTTCTGCTGTACTACATATCAAACTAATTGCAAATACCTTGAATATGGTCTCCATCTCCTCTTTGTCAATCTTTCCATTTCCATCTTGATCAAAGAGCTTGAAGTACCATTTGAGTTTCTGGTTGATTTCACCTTTCAGTAGTAGACTAACTGCTGCTATATATTCTACAAAATCTATATATCCGTCCTGTAAAGGAAAGAGATGATGTGGTTATGATTTAAGAAAAATGTGAAATAAGCACAAATAAAGGCTTGTTACAGTTAATGAGCTATTATTGCATAATAAACAAATTGAATTGTTATTTTTAGTAACTTCCAGTTAACTCTGGGTTAACACTACTGACAGTGTGAAGAGAGCTCTCATGAAATAAACACTGGCTATCAAGCAATATGAGTTGTTGTACTTGCAGTGCCTTTTTTCATCAGAATGGTTGAGATACAGGTTATAGGTAAGCATTCAGATCCATGCTCAATAAAACTATAGTTCTGGATTATGAAAATCATTGTAGCAACTGATTTGATGTTCTTGCTTAAATAGTTTTTTATTTGTTTTTTTGCTAAGTTTGTAAAAGCCTGTTGACAAAAATAACGTATTGGTCAGGTCAAACTAAAGATAATGTAATATATGATGGATCTTAGAACCCACCATTTTATTAAGAAGCGAAATGTGTGTACTACAAAGTGAGAGGATGCTCTTACCCCATCCATGTCGAAAGTGTAGAACACCTGGTCCACATAACTGCTGGCCTCCTCAGTCATGCCTTGCATTTGTAGCATGGTCTTCAGCTCAAAGAGGGTGATGAGCCCTGATGGGGATTCCCTCATAAATTTATTGTACCAGTGGTGCATGTCCTCAGCCAGGATTTCATCCAGGTTAGATCCATGGGCACCCATAATTCCTACAGGAAAGTGTTTTTGCTTTGATGTGGATGCTAGAGCTGTAGTCCCACTTCCTCAGACTCAGTGAGTGATCCAGAAGCAAAAGCAGTAGTCTTAGACTCGATGACGCTGGTGATTCCTGGCTGAACTTGTTGAGGAATGACAGACCTGCAAGTGCAGCTATTGGCTAAAGCTCTTAAGCCTTTCGGGAGGCAAAAAGAGAGATAACCCCTTAACAAGATAACTGTTGAACTCTTCTAAGAACCAAGGAACATCTTTAGTTTGTGCAGCATTTGAGAGGAGAATTCCTGCTTGGAATTCTTACACAACTCTTCCCTCCAGTAAAACAAGTAAAGCTATGCTGAACTTCATGACCAAATCTAGATTAAGATGTTCAGTGAAATCTATCTGCAACTTTCCAGTAAGAGGTCAAGAATCTGTTGGTGGGCTTAGTCCTGCACTTACTTTCTATGTTCTACTCAGGGCATTTATCCTTAGAGCCCAGTAATAACTTCATGTATATGAGCTGTTGTTTGGGGAAGGTGGGAATTATAATTATTTATAATTATATTAATTATCAGAGGTGGGACATGAATAATTGTACTTTGTTGCTATACTTTAGTTTTGTTTTTGAGAATTTGTAGTCACTCAAGCATTACTGAAATTGTATACTTGTACTTTACTCAACTACATTTCCAAGAGAAAATCATACTTTTTACTCCATGTATTTTCATTTAAACTTTGAAAGTACTCACTACAAACCTCCAAGGCCGGAGCAGAAAACCCAAACATCAACCTACACATCTCTGCTACAAATCAAAACATAATCTTCGTTCCCAGCACCTACTGTTTATAAAACAATCCAGCTGGAAGTGGTGCAAGTGCAAACCCTACAACTGTCCCCAAAAACAGGGTTAATTGTAACAGACTGAGGGACTAGTAACAGTCGATAATATGTCTGGTATATCGATGCACAAAATTAATTCAACACAGTTATGTGTTATTTACACCAGACAAACTTTCCAATTTAAATAGAAAAAAATTATAGTAATCAAAATAAATCTGATTTGTGAAAGTCATAATTGGGGGAGTTATAAATTACAACCACTTATAGATGACTGAAACACACTTTTATGGTATAAAACAAGCATCAGGATTTATGCCTGATTGCTGTTAAAATCACAGATATGAACGTGTTGAACGACATAAAGTGTCCATGTTCCATTTTAGCCCAGGTTGGTTTGTGCCTTGCTCTTACATACTGCAAATTATTCACCGTCCCACACAACACCACACAAAAACATTGAATTTGTTTGTTTACTTTTACTTTTATATACTTGAATACAGGGTGATTCAAAAAGATTAATCTGATTTCAAAGCGCCATGTTTTTACAACCATGAGGCGCCTAGGAACCAATCACATACCATTTGAAAGAGGGGGTCATAGAGTTTCTGACTGTCACTGGAAGATGGCTCCCTTCAGTCTGCGAGGAGACGGCAACCCCTGAGCAGAAAGCATTTTGTGTTCTCCACTTCAGTAGGAGTGAATCCGTCATAATTATGCAACGTGATTTTCACCGACATTGAACCTCCATAGCTCAGAGCATTCGTTGTTGGTTCCCTCATGGGATGAATTTGACTATGGCGTTGATGTTATCTGTACAGCTGGAGGAGGTCATACTGAGCACTTGTAAAATTACATAATAAACTTTATGCTCACTTAAACCATGTACAATTTACTGCATTGTTCTGTAATGATTTACATATGAAATAAATCATTTAAAAATCAGATTAATCTTTTTGAATCACCCTGTATATTTTGACAAAGAACTCATACTTTAACTTAAGTATAATTTGTCTGTGTTTTATCCAGTCCTGGTAATTATGTTCACCTTTGAAAGAGTTACTACAGTTCACTTCTTGCTTAATTCAAATTAATTTTAATGTAACATCATTTGTAAAACAGCCATGATTGCAATAATCTTTCTCACATGATAAATGGAAAAAAATAATATTTCAGAGACAATAGAAAACATTTAAAAGATGACCTGTAATCAACCAATTGTAATCCAGTGGAATAATATATAAAACATTTTTCATCTTACTGTCACGTTTACATCATCAAAGCATAAGTGTTTTTAATAGTAGATGAGTTCCTGTGATGTGTGTTATGAGAACAAGGCACAGATAAACACTGTATGTTTGCCCAAGAGGGCTCACCCTTTCTTGACCTTATTAATCAGTGAATCATGTGAGCAGTGCTAGCATGCATGCATGATCTATGTGTAGCTAAAGGCAACCGACTGGCTGGACATGGATGGTCTGATGAAGAGCATGTGTTTTAATCAATAAAGCTATCAAAGATCAGTGTTCCCGTTTTAGTAAATCTGGCCTCAGACGATTACCAGCCTCTACAACAGATCAGATTAATGCCAGAGGGATTCTGTTCAGCAGTCAAAGTACAGAGTAGAGCAGACCTGTTGCTCAGTGCACTGGGGACAATGGGACTGCCAAAAATAGTAAGAGCCTTAAAAAAGAACAGATTTATTTTGATACAAATGTTTTTGTTTAGAATCTAAAGCTAAAGCTTCAGTTCCATCTACATCTTAGGAGTTTTACAATCATGCTTATTTTACAAATTCTGGTAAATTTGTATGTAAATAACTAACTTAATGTTTCTGTTGTCCTGTTGAATTAGTAGTTGAAACTGACATTTCCATGCATAGCTGATTGCGATTTAATTAACAATGACCTATGTAGTTGTAAACAAGGCTTGTGTACATTATTTAATCACTGTCCAAAATGTAGTAGCACCTCTGCCAATCTGATTTAAAGCACTGTAGTCTGATTAAAGAACGTAAATCTCCTTAAAAGTTTGGTGACTGCCACAGTGTTCCAAAATAATGCCATTGAAAAGCAGCCTTCAATCAGCTCTTTATGACTAGCACTAAATGCATCTGATATTTTACACAGTATAATTAATTTACTTGACAATATTTTAGTACACTAAACTAAACCAGAGATCAGAACTTTGTTTTTTTTTATTGTACAGATAGAGAAAGACTGAGACAACTGTCACCCTGTCAACCCCAATGGGGTCTATGGGCTTTGTGTTTAAGTTTAGATCTTTATTTCTGTAGCATAATAACATGAGGGGGTGTGATGCTACGCAACCACTACTGTAGCTTTGTTTGTAAATGTAATAAAGTATTTTAGTAAACCTGCAGCAGTATAGCACTTCATCCCATCAGTAATACAGAATATACTTTAAATATACTGAGTATTATTTGGGTGGTGGACCATCCTTAACACTTTGTTAGACCGACTCACCACCTACACCTTGCTGGTGCATAGTTAGTTCTTTTTTCATGCAAAATTTGCGTCACCCTGTAGTCCTTCATCATTGGTCAGTTCAGTTTCTGACCACATGACCGCTGCTTCACGGATATATTTAGTTGGTGAACTATTCTCAACCCAGCACTACCATGTCAGTGGCACCGCTGTGCTGAGCTCCTTTCATTAATTAAAGAATTTCATTCCAAAATGCTGTATATCCATTTATACCAATTTTGTTTTTCTGATAAGAATAACACATGACATAAAATGGAAAACACATTTTAATTTCTTTAATAAGTGATATTAATCATAATATAGCATTGCTATTTGTTGTATGTGTAAAGCCTCCTTTGAACAATGTATTTTATGAAAAAAAGAAAGAAAATTCTTGAAAGTGAAGTGAAGTGAAGTGTTTTGGAGTGAAACCTTTGATTGTAAACCTACAAAAGTGCACCTTTGTAGTACCTGATAAAATGGCCAGTGAGTGCAGGTACAAGTTGTATTAGGTAAGGTATTAGGTGTACCTAATAAACTGGAAACTCAGTGAATTGCAAATATTATTGATTGGGTTTGTGCTATACTACTGCCACCCCTATTAGCTTTGGTTTTAAAAATAATAAAGATACATTTTTTTATTATTTATGACTTTGTTTCACATTTTAAGTCAATCAAGCATGGAAGCTGTAGAACAGGCATCTGAAGGCTTGGACTAGATCAGCAGAGACTTAGGCTACGCTTCTGTCTGTACGTGATCTCACACTGTGACAACAGTCCAAGTCTCTCTGGCGAGGTATTTAAAGCCCACTAACATTGGGAATGATTAGTGAGTGACTCTGACCCGAACAGACCAGGTTTCTCAGAAGGATTAGGTCATGCAGACACAGCGTGATGGAAATTAACAATTAACCTGTAAAGCCTGCTGAAATGTTATACAGTTATGGACAAAGACTTCAAGAAAAGGAGTTTTAAAATCGGGAATAGAAAGGATGGAATATTTATCAGGAAAATGCAGCACTTTAAAAAATGAATGGATTAGAAACAAAAATAGGCTTGACTAAATATGTCTTCTAATTACCAGTATGGTATTTTTGACGAGGTGCTCCAGGAACTTTCATTTTTAACATTACACAAAAATACAGACTTAATTTGTCCAATTACTTTACTTATTTACTTTCATAGCAATAAGTAATAAATTATACTGCTTAATAAACATAATGTTAAGAAACTCTTTTATCTGAAGTAAACATATAGTAATAAGAGAACAAAACAAATAAGCTTTAAACACAAATAGCATCAATGCATTCTCACCTCCTTAAAAAACTTAGTACTCATCATGTGCAAATCTGTAGCTCTGGTATCCTTGTTGTTGACAAGGTTCTACTTGGCTGACTGATAAACCAGACAATGTGGTTTGGTCCAACAGCAAGAACAGCTTGAGCCCAGTGATCTTGTTAGGAGCTTTATTAAAAGCCATGTTTACACTACCTTATGCAGCAGAAGAAAGCTGTGACATACACAGAGGCTATGATCTAGCATGATCAAAGGTTCCACAGTTTAAACCATCACAAGATGAATGACTTATTGCTTCACTTTTAAATTACTTTTAAAAAGGTTTAGGAAAGTACTTTTAGAGTATTTACTCACTAAAGAAAAGCAAAAAACAAAACAAAGGAAAAAAACAAACAAGCAAACAACAGAACAATATTTCATGCGTCAATGTTAGATTATTAGCTTTTTTAAAATTCCTGTGAATTTTAAAATTGAGTAGATATATGAGTCAGTGTGAGGCAGTTATGTCAGTATTATGGAGCTCTTAGGAGATGATCTGAACCGTCATTGGACATATTTGCAAGTAAAAAGCTCAACAAGTTCAGTGGGTTTAGCAAAAGGGGGACAATATTTATTTCACAATCTGTATATGTATTGTCAAAATGTAATTGTTATCACACTGTTATATTATTAGTATACTATATGTATGTATAAAGCTATAAACTTGTGTTCATGCCAGCACAAGTACATCATCATTAAAGCAAAAGAAAGACATGAAGTATTAAAAAATCCTGAGAATCATGTTAAAATTTTAGAGATTCTCCTTTTCATTCAAAGTGCTATGCTCATAATATAATTTGCAATGAAAATCATTCTATTAAATTAGGAAGGAATGCATTATAAAAGCATTTTCGCTAGTGGTCTCAGGCTTTTGGACACTGTGTGTCCCTGAGAATTAAAACTGCAAATCAGCACTGGGTCAAAATGGAACTGACCAAAAAGAAAGAAGAATCATTATGTATACTACTGCTATAGATGGAATTTCATTTTGGGCTGGTTTTACAGATTAACTTTAAGACTAGAGTAAAAGCCTTTTCAATATAGAATAAACCTTGAAATAACCATTTAGTTCAAATCTAGGGGTATTTAATATCCCGAAAAATGGTGCTTAAAGGGAAAATTCCATCAATTTTGCAAAATGTCTGCATAATTGAGTCATTGAGTGGTCTTATTTACATCCTAGAGTGGTTTGATGTGAAATGCTTCTCTATGGAGAAACCTACCAAGAATTACTGTCAGAATTGTTCATAGTAGTGGTGAACTTTATTTGAACGCAGGAAATTTTCCATTAAACATTAATTGAAAAATTAAATAAAGAAAAGTGCCAAGCAGTAATAGCGAGGAACAATGAGAATTAAGTAAAAAGTACACCTGTGGAATTTTCCTATGTACTTTGTCAAGATGTATGCAGAATGTATTCTAAATACATTACCTTTTTATATGTTGGAACAGAATGTTACCGAATACATTTAGGACAGTGCATTCAGTATTTAGCCATCAACACTTTAAGTGTTTTTCCAAACTCTGGTCAGGTCCAATTCATGGTCCAAAAGCCAGGAACAGTCTTCATTAGATTTTGCTGCAGGCACTGTAAGTTACACCTTTCAAAAGTACTGTAAATTTGGTACTGTTTAAAGTTCATTGTAATTTCTGCTGATTTCCATGAGGCACAACCGGTGAATGACAACCCAACTAGCCAACAGAAATGTTTCTGTTGAGATTTTATTTATTGATACCTTAAATAGCCAGTGGAAATGTTGCTTGAGAGAGCTTAGACAGGTCTTGTCATCTGAGAAACAAACTATACCAGAGCCGGTTTATGAGGAGCCTTGCCTCTTCCTATCCCTATCGCGGAGCAGCTCCTTGGCTGTTCATAAGTGCTTAAAAATATAACAATGATGTTAAAATGTTTTAAGTTGTTATGTGTTTAGACAATGAATGTATTATTTTATATTAAAAATGGTTAAATATTTATGAACTGTTTTTGCTTAAATGCTCCATCTTAACCCACTCATTTTTGACTTGCTCAGGAGAGCCCTCTAACGTTTGAGAAACCCAGAAAACATTACAGAATGGTAATTCTCCTCTCTACAAGTTCTCGGACTATACTGACTCTAATTCAGCACTGCCTTAGCACTGACCAAAAATAAACTTTTATAGACTTTAAAGTAAGGCAGAGAGGTATCTCACGAAGCAGTCAAAGCCACTCAGCCCAATCAAATCACTATAATTACAAATACTACTGTAACGTGAGCAGACTCATTTATAGGAAGAGAAATTTCAAGATAACAGTTGGTGCTTGCTTTCAGTGTCATGATTAACAACTGTTAAATTGGGAGAAATCAGAGTGAAAAGCTCTATGCTGGTAAAATGCTTAACTTTACTGAATTAGGGTTAAAGATACTCATATTTTTATATCAAACATGACAGAGTGTGTTAATAACATTGGATTACAAGGGTTGAATGTCAAATGGCACAGTAAACTTAACATTTTAGATTGCAAACACAGAAAAACAGATTAAGACAGATAAGACATGTATAAGCACAGATCAAATGATTTGGCCTTCATTGGGATATTATGCCAAGTTAGGCAACAGCACCATCTAGTGAGTATTACAAATGCGTTATAAAAAATATAGGCCTATGTGTTGGAATAAAAGTTATTTAATCTAAAATAATATACATCTTACTATTTTACTATTTTAAAGTGCCAGACAAGCACAACTACTGAACTGCAATTCTTTACTTGAAAGAGCCCCTGTATGTTTTTTCTTGATATTCGGAAAGTTCTCAACCCCAAGACTAACAGTGATAAAAGCAGCTGCATTTGGTATTTGACACAAGAAGCAGCTACACCCTAAGTAGTATATAAACAAGCTTGGCTTGCTTATACACTTATCAAGACTGCAGAGAAGCCTAGAGTGTGTTAACACCAGGAACAGAAAGAAATTGCAATCTTTGTCTGACTGCTGGTGTCCACTAAGAAGTGATTCACAGGCTTACAACAAAAAGTGGGTAGTGCAAGGAGAGACACGTGCAGAGACTTCCACTGAAATGAGTGTTCTCAAATGATCGTCATAGAGAGAAGTGAGTAGAAAACTGCATATCGGCACTGTTTCAGAGATCAGTTCCATTTCCCGCCTGCAAAGAGAAAGAACAATCATTATGTGTGCTACTGCCAAAGATGTAATTTCATCTTGGGCTGGTTTTGCAGATTAAAAAAATAGACTAAAAAGGCTTTTCAGTGTGGAATGACCATTGATATTACAATTTAGTTGAAGACTGGCACTTCAAGTGGAACTTCCCACAGTTTAGCACAAACTCTGCATAATTAAGTCATGTAAACAAAGCCAGTTAGATTGATTTAATGCGAAATCTCCCTACTGGAGAAACCTACTGAAAATTACTATCAGAATTCTTCACAGTGGTGGTGACAAGAACCAGAAGCCAAAGCATTTAATGATTCTAAAAGCTGCCTCACAGAAAGCTACATTAAATGGTTATGAATACACTGTGGGAAATGCTGCTACAATAGTTCTAAGTAATGTTTTTGCCTATTTTTTATATTATATACAGCCTGATTGACTCTGTTGACATTTCAACAATTGAATTCTACAAAAAACTTAGTCTGTGGAATTCCTCTTTAAATGTTAGAGGGTAGAGAATGCTGCCTCTAAGCAAAAGCAAACAGAACTTGTTCACTTAGATTTTTGCTCAGTTTTTTTAAGATACCTTTGTTATAGTTAAATATAAAAGTTTCATAGTGTTACCCTCATGTTGAGTGAAAAGGGCTCAATGTAAAGAGGGTCCTCAGTGTCTTCGTCAAGTAGGTGTTGAAAGAGCACATGGTACACCATTTCTCTGTTCAGAGTATAGCGTGTTAACTGTTCATGCTCTAAAGGCATGTTAAACCTCAGTTCATACTGGACAGAAGAATTTCTGTGAAAGGAGAGGAAGGAGATGTGAAATTCTGTACATTTCACAGCAAAACAGCATTTCAAGGAATTCTGTTGAATGCCAGGAATTTAACACTTTTTTCTCTTTAGACTAAGCAGTTTTTCAAAGGGTACCTCCTTACTGCTAAGTATTAAGTTAGCATACAGGCCCCTGCAGGTCTACTAACAAAAGGGACACAAAAGACAGATTTAATCTTCAAAATTCTTGGGGAAATAAGAAAAAAAAAATATGAAGATAAATTACAAATCCTCCTCCTTAGGGTTATTAATAAAGATCCTGTATTAAAGCATTTCTATTCCACTGCCATGTATAGATAAATCAAATGTTTTCTCAGATGCACTGCCCTTACACAAGACATTTTAATTCAAATGAAACCACGTGCCTGGCAAACAACAGTTGGTCAAAGGCATCAACGTAGTGTTACCTCGGTGGATGTACTGTGGCAAAAGAGAAGTAGCGCTCCAGAGCATGGGAGGATTTGTAGATGCCCGTGAGCTTGAGTGGGCAAGGAATGCAAAATGAAAGAAAAACAAACAAACGTCTTAGTAATACAGCAACTTCAACACTTGCTTGCCTCAAGTGGAAATTCCCCCCAAAAGGTCCCTAAATTCTCACAGCTTCAAAATGAATAGTTCTCAAAACTACTCAAACGTGCAGGTGAAACACTTCTATAAACAAAATAAATTTTCATGAAATTCTCTCTGCCGTACTGCAAATAGTCACTTCAAGTGTTAGGAACTAGAAATAGAGTGTGTTGGTGAATTATCAGTGTTATGAATTATTGCACATTGTGAAGAAGGAAATGATTCAGCACGTTCACGCCAGCCGACTTCCGTGCAACCAAGTAAGATGCAAAAAGAATCTCATGGTGGCACCATCCTACAGTAGCCTTACCTTTTGTTGGAGATTTTTTAATAGATCATCATCTGAACTGGGTTGAGGCATTGAGTCTTGCACAAAGCTCTGGCTGGCAAGTGTAAAACTGCCCCTGAAGAAGAGTGGCACCTTAAATGATGAAGCATCATATTGGTCATCAACGTCCTCTTGATGACCTGGGTTACCAAGACATAGGAATGCAGTCGTACACCATCACTGGAAAAGTCACTGTTACTGAAAGGCATGTGTTTATAAAGCAAAAAAACTGTCTGTAGCTATGCAGCATAGAGCACACAGAGGAGAGACTAAATAATGGAAACATCAGGCAATAAGGACATCAACAATAAACACATGAGCAGCCTCCTGCTTTCATAAAAGCTTTTTCCAGCAGATACTTTGAATGTTTGAAGCAGTTTGTAATAACAAATTGGATCAATTCTTTAGGGAAAATACACCTTCTGTCACATTGAACAACTGGATGCAAACAGTACAATTTGGAGGTCCCCTTTCTAGTCTGAGGACATATTTTGTGCTCTCATTACAAAAGGTTTTGACTTTAAATGTTGGCTTTCATATCCAATAATGTGTTTTTTTATAATGTGATGGGTTTGGCATTAAAATATATTACCAAAATATGTGCCCATAAAATACTTCATTTAAAATCCTTTTTATTTAACATTTATATGTACCAGATAGGCTCTGTGTACTAGTTTGAACCCAAGATTGAGCCACTTCAAAATGAGATCGCATTCAACATTTCCAATACTTATGACAGATATAACACAGCATTCAAATAATTTCTGGGAATAAACAACTGAAATCAGCTAAGACTGGAATCAGCAGATTTGTGATGCATTCAATCAGCATTTGGCCGAGAATTATTTTGATTTTGACCCATCTCTGTTGCAATTTTGTGATGTAAATACTGTAGGTCAGGTAAGTGCACTTGTGCTGTATTTGAATGCTGCTGCTATAACTATACTAAAATCTTGTAGCATGAGTTGATATAATGTTGATTTATGCTGTTTAAACAGGCAACTGATTTTTCATTTAAGAATTTAAAATGGAAGTTATTATATTATAGAGCAAAAAGAAACTGGATTGTGGATGTGTCCCTATTTATCACAAATTAGAAATATGTAAAGTCTGAATCACAAACCAACATTAATGGATTTAAAAGTGTGCTGTGTAGGGCAGTACCTGAGCAGAGAAAGAGAAAAAGCAGGATGATTGAAACAATGAAGAATAAGGCAATAAGAATGGCCATCCACACTCTAATCTTCCATACCACTGTTTCGCTCAGCTCCTCTTTTAGTCTTCCCAGCACCCTAGACTGAACATAAAAGCATAGCATTGTATTAACAGAACAGCATATACACAGCCGACTTTTAGGTAAACAACACTAAACTGTAGAAAAACAGGTGAATGTTTTGTACTGAATAGGGCTGCGACAACTAATCGACATTATTGATAATGTTGATAGTAAAAAAAATGGTTGGCAGTGAGTCATGTTATCAGTTAGATGGCTTGATGATCCTAATGTGTCTCATTTATATCACATTATTGTTAGAGTTGACTGATTTAGTATTCAGCCATCACTACCTGATGTAAAACAAAAACATCACGTGCATGTAGGGCTGGGCGATAAAACGATAACGATAAGTATCGCGATATAACTTAAGACAGGTTCGATAAATGTTCGATATAATACACCATTCTCACACCTCCACGTTTTAGCGAAAGCCCTGGTGGCATTTTCTAGGAAAGCGACACTACTCTGCTGTCGCCAGGAGAGGGCGTACTTCCGAATTTTTTGACTTGATTAGAGAGGGAGGGGGCCACGAGTAAAAAAAAGGGTCGCCAAATATACTTTAGCAATGGCTGAAACGCGGAGTTATACAGTCCCTGTTTGAGCGGAGTGACCGGTGATCTGTTCTCCTGTGACCGAGAGTGAGTGACAAGGTCAGTGGTGTAACTGTACTGTCCTACAGCGAACTCACCTCTTTCCGTGCATCCTAACAACTTTAGCGGTGTTAAATCAAGTCTACAGCGCCGTGTTACAGCGCCAAACCGTCATATTTTAGTATTAGTGCATTCTCGAGCAATGAAAGTGAAAGAATGAAGTGGTTTCATGTTCGAAAGTAAACTGAGGAAGCTGTGAGAGCAGGAGAGCGCTATCTTTCCAGGCTAGCTGTTTTTAGCTGCTGGCTAACTTGAAGCAGTGCTCCGGCACAACACGGTGAATTGATGATATGGTAGATCAAACAAGACACAAAATCACTTTCAGTTTAAACATGCCTAAAAGGAGGACTCTGTTTTTCTGCTTTTACACAGCGAACGACAGATATACTGCGGTTCACCCCTTAAACTACTATGATAGAATAGAGAAATCCAGCCGTCGCTAGCTGGTGTCTGAATACTGTGATATGCTCTGACATGGATATGGTAGGAGTGACAGCAGTGACCTACCGAACCGAGTTGACGTCGTTGAGAAACTAAAGAGTTTAGCACTGTTGTTGGCCACTTGTTTAGCATTTGTAACAGGGTAGCCGAGCGCTCGTCACCAGACAGCTAAAAATAATCTGTTTTCTTTCTTAAATCATGACTATTACAAAAATTGCAGCTGTGCTTTTCAAGCTGATAAAAACAGCTCAGAAACTTTCTCCCACTCTTCCATGACAGATTAGTGAAATGTTCCACTGTTTGCCGAGTGTTTGTCATGATCGGACCACAAGTGATAGTTTAAAACCACAGTTAACCACCCAGGAGCAAAATCAGCCTTCAAACGTGAAAGAAATCATGATTTGACATTTATCACGATATGTATCGATATCGAACGATATGAATTTTGTTTATCGTGATAACGTTTTTGGCCATATCGCCCAGCTCTACGTGTATGGTTACTACGTGTATGTTTCCAATTAAGTGATTCATTAAAAGTTGTAATGGACCAACTAATCGAACGTTAAAAGTTGTTTGTTGCAGCCATAGTACTGATCATTTCCAGTATTTTTACTGATGCATCGATTACACTATATACACACACACAAAACCCTCTGGTGAATGCACAGATTTAGCCAATCTCAGGCACAAAGATTATTGTTCTTCACGGAGCAATGATTCTTATATGCACATTATGCAAATAAGAAAAGCCAAAGTGGAAATGACCTGCTGCAAATTTCCATATTCAAATGAAAGCATTTGTACCCTGCCAAATGAACTCAGGTGAACGTTCTTCATAGAAAATACTGTTTTAAACTTAACCGAGTTCCCAAAAAAGTTGGGACACTGTGCAAAATTTTATTGTTTTTTTTGTTTTGTTTTTTTTTAAATATATGACCATATTGAATTTGATGCCAGCAATACATTTCAAAAACGTTGTGACAGGGGCATGTTTACCACTGTGTTGCATGAGTCTTTTTACAACTCTATAAGTGTTTGGGAACTAAGGAGACCAGTTGGTGTAGTTTTGAAAGTGAAATGGTTTCCCATTCTTGCTTGATATCGGAGTTCAGCTGCTCAACAGTTCAGGATCTCCTTTGTCATATTTTTTGTTTCCAGGGATGGAGGGTTACTTTAAAAGTGTATTCTGTTACAGGTTACTGATTACCGCTTAAAAAAAAAAAATTGTGACATAATCCAAAGGATTACTATATTAAAGTAATCTGATTACTTTCTGTTACTTCTGGATTAATAGTCTTTTTAAACTTGTATAGTTCAATGAAGACGAGATAAAAGTCTTTTTCACCAAGAATTTAACTTAACCCAAATCAAACACAAAAACTGCTTCATGAAACAGAAGCTGTTTAATGAAACAGAAAAACTGATTATAGCCACCTTAAATACGGTGCCTCCTCCAAGGGGTCACTCATGTCAAGTTTAGCAAAATGGCCAAATCTAAGTGCAGAAATATATGGAAATATTTCAAACATAAAGATGACAAATTTGTTCTTTGCCACTCATGAGACTAAACTCTCTTTTAACGATTCAGAGCTGTTAATGTTAATAATGTTAACATCTCACCTCAGCATTTAAATTTGGACAGTTAACATTCGCAAAAGCTAACTTCATGATTCAAGTGCTGCCTGAGGCCCTGAAGATGAATGCCAGCCAATATTGGTTTTTGGCCTTTTCCCTTGCATACAGAGATTTCTCTGGGCTCTCTGAATCTTTTAATTATATTTTGTACAGTAGATTATGAAATCCCCAAGATCTTTGCTATTTTACGTTGAGAGTTATTCTTGAGTTGTTGCACTATTACTGGCCTGGACAGTCTTTCAGAGAGTGGTGAACCCCTCATCATCTTTGCTTCTGAAAGACTATGTCTTTCTGGGATGTTCTTTGTCATGTTACTGACCTGTTGCCAATTTACCTAATTAGTTGTAAGATGTTCCACCAGGGTTTTTTTTTAAGCATTAGACAATTTTACCAGGCTTTTGTTTTTGTGTCCCAACTTTTTTTTAAACGTGTTGCTGGCATCAAATTCAAAATTGGCATATATTTTTCAAAAACCAATAAAATTTCTCAGTTTCAACATTTAATATATTGACCTTATACTATTTTCAATTAAACATAGGATTAAATTAAGAGATGTATGCACATCATTACATATTATTTTATTTACATTTTGCACAGCCCAACTTTTTTGAAAACAGGATTATAATAGGAATCCAAATTATGTAATTATGTTCCTTTTACTGAAAAGGATTAAACCGATGATTGTTGTGATTAGTGTACTGTAGGTCAGAGGGTGTATCCCATTCTTTGGGCCCTTAGGCTGGTCTCAATTTTAGTTGTAATTCAGCCTCCCACACTTGCCACTCAAGTAATCAGAAAGCTACACAGTCCAGGAGCCTGTCGTTTTTTGCCAGCAAACTTTAACTTAGTTTGGTCTAACCCTGGATTTTCTGTCTCAACGATAAATCACTTTTTGCCAGGATACATCACAACTGGGACATAAGCGTGATACATGGCAACTTGTGCTTCGCACACATAACCTGTTCCAGGGCAGGTTAGATTTGGGATTATAGATAGTAAACAGCTCTTGGACCAATCAAAGCTGAGTTTCTAGTGGAGGTGAACCTCTCTGGTCCATCGTTTTGCAAACTACTGCAAGTCAGCAATAGGTTTGATGCAAAAAGGCATATGAATATGGGGCATCAGAATGTGTGATAAGAAATTTGGTACTGCAGATGTTTTTTTACTTTATATGCTGTAATTTTACAGTGACCTGTTATCTAAGTTGGATGGCCCTCCTTTGTCAGTAATTCAGGCATGCATCGATACTATGGCAACTAATGTGGATAGGCAAACAAATGCAACTACAGTAAGACCATTCAAAATGGATTTATTCAGCCTGAAAATCATATTCAAGACAAAAATCTGATTTGCCCAGTCATGTGAGCAAAGCCTTAGCTACCCCTTTGTGACACTTGGGACACCAATCACATGTAACCATCTTTTCAACAAAAGAAGTAATTAATTTTCTATAAAAATGTATTACTTCATTAAGCAGTAACATGGCAGCAGTGGCAACAGTGTTGTTTTTTCGCCATTATAAGTTCTTTACTTTCTGCATATTTACGTAATATTATTTCTTGTTACTTCTTGAAAATTAGGCTCAAGACCTCTCCATGTTTCCGGTAATTAGCTGTTCATCACAAACGCCACATTTTCATGTACATGCACAAAAACATTACAGTATCTAAACTTTAGTCAACCACAAAAGTTAATATCTACTGTTGTAAAACAAGTTAACGGCAGTTGCAACATAATCAGGAACTCTGTCTCAGTTGAATGTGCTTTGTGAGACAGGCCCTAGCTCTGTAAGAAACTGCAACAGAAAAATGTAGACTAGCTCAGGGATCCTGAAGGGTGAATTGGGAACTTTAGTAGTAGACAAATACAGACAGAGCTGCAAGGACAAAAAGTGATACTGTAAATAATGCCATTCTATACCTTTTCCTCTGGCACCTCAGGGCATCTCACAGCACAGTGATCTCCGTTGCTCTCAGCACCCTGAGAATGCAGACAAACACACATTCACACACCACCAACACACATATCTTCCCCAAGTTTGACCTTTTTACAAGCCGAATGTATGGAGTGAGTCAAGCAATGCCTGGAGTGAGTCAGACCCATAACACAAGGAAGCGAAAGAAGAGCAAGAAGTGTAAGACGTGTGCTAGGTTCTACTTTTCTGCACTTGGTTTATAACTCCTTCAGTACTGGATTACTTGATCTAAGACAGCATGTGGGTACGACTTCTTTTTTCTTTTGCTGGGTGTAAGGTCTGATCTACAACAAAAGAGAGTAGTCAGACCTGCTTGGCCTCTTTGGAAACATTCCTTTCAATTTACTGGATTCAAATGCGTCTATCAGTTCCAAATGAATACAGTGTATTTCATCAACACAAACTGAAAAACAACAATTATGTTGATGTAAAAAATATAAGAAAATGTTTCAAAGGAGCTCTTTGGTGCAATGCCATTAAATAACTACATTTAGTTCCCTAAAGTTCCCATTTTTGCTCTAACTCAGCTCACAACACACCTGTACTAGATATTCAGTGCATATCATGAAAAGCCGAATCTTCTTTACTTGTTCTAAATAAGAGAGTCTGATGTAGTGTGTAAACACTGTCCACACAGTGGAAACTAGTCCACATATAGAAACAAACCTGCAAAAACAGCCTATTTTGAATTCAGTGTTTTTGTAATGTCATGAAAACCATTATATACATTATATCCACCGATTCAGCCTACTGCAGTTTAGTCCCACCCATTCATGTTGAAGTTAGAAGAATGTTTTAGCCTGGACTGCTTTTTTAACGAGATGCATTATGGGGCAGCCAGTCAGAACAGCAGCCATTTACATATCTTTCTTAAAGGCACTGCAACAAAAACAGCCTCGAGGATGGAAATGGTCATGAAAAAATTAATTCAGACTATTTTTTTGTACATAAAACCACAGAAATAGGCATCAAGAGAATAATACATAAAATACAAGAAAAACTTAGAATATGGGCTCTTTTGTAGGTCGGTTCAGCGGTGTACAGAGCTGCATTAGAGCAAAATGTGGACACAATGTTCACAGAATTGTTCTGGGAATAACCTCATACTTGTGTGGAACCATTACAATATGTGCAAGTTCTTTAAACATAAATCTCATCCATTAAAATGTTCTTTGAGCAAAGATTTGTTCTTCTGTGTCGTTGCTCCAAAGAACCCTTTTGGCACCAAACTCAATAACGAAACTTAATCAAATCAATTTAAAATATTATTTTTCCCTATAATGAAGACTATGAATGGAGCTGCAAGATTTAGTCAGTGAACTAACCTGATAATGTATCCTTATTGTAACCTGTCAACTTGTCTTAAAAACCATGATGTCAGTGAAACTCCTACCTGTCCAGATGTGAGTAGAGGCCTGCCTTCAATGACATCTGATGCATGGTTGTTTGAAAAGGTTCCATTTCCTGGGCTCACCTGGGAACATGTATATAAATATCATAAAGAGAATATATTGCTCTGAGTAGAAAAACAGCTGTAGCTGGCAAAGAGACAGAGAAGTGTTTCTGTTTGCTGAGTAAACACTCTACTTGAATGTGGGTTTACAGCAGACAGTGGGAACCTGAACTCGAGGGTTAGTCTTTTTTCTGCCCCGTTAAATGTCGCAGTTAGATTTAAAAGTCTGAATACAAGCACCTGTTTGGTAAAAGGCTTTGCAATTGGAAGGAAAAAAAAAGGAAAAAAAAACTCAATTCTTTAAATTCAAAAGTAACAATACAAGCCAGCTCAGCTGCTCCCTCCCAGGGGCGTGTTTGTACAAGCACAGATCCACAAAACCCTGTAGCCATTTTCCATTGTATCACTGTCCACAGTTCCTGTATTTTATCTCAACAGTTTCTGGATCAACTGTGAATTACTACCTACACATTTTCACAGTTTCTGTATAAAAGTGTATTTTACCTTCACATTTTGAATATTTCATTAAGTACCATCGGTGATATGGCGACTAGCCAGCTCTCAGAGTGAAGTCTGTGTAGCCACACTAAGACAAAGACAAAACTATGGGGTCAACATACCTCATTGTTAATTTCTCCATTTCCAACGTTATTGTTGTCGGGGGGTCCACCGCGATGTTTTAATTCCACGTCGTCCATACTTTCCACTGTGATTTTCCTTACTACGGTCTCTTACCCGGAAACAAGAGGCATTTTCTGTTTGATGAAAGTTGCGCAAGAAAGTTGCTGACCGACTTTGGTCTTTCTTTCGAGGGGACAGTCACAACAAAACAAGACAATCCCTCTACAAATAAAAGTTAACCAGGCAACTGAAAACCGAATTCAGTTTCATCCTGGTTGCTAATGCTAAGTGTTTCCCATGATTTCCCAGGCGGTTTCAGGGTTCTCGGTATGAAGGCTTGTCTGCTCTCCTTTTCTCCGGCGCCTCAGGAGCAGGTGAGCAGGATAGGTGTTTCACTTCCCACCCGTATTCCGACAAGCCCCGCCTCTGGTGCCCAGATTGACTCAACCTGTGGGCACCGACCGATCAGCGACAACGGGACTGCGTCTGCGTCTGAACTGTTATCCAATCCCAGGGCAGGGGGCGGGGTTTTCCGGAACACAGGTGGGGAAAGCAGTGAATAGTACTATTCTGCTTTCAGTGGTTTTCTTTGGCATGCAGCTCTGGTTTACTGGAATCGTGTCTATGGCGGAGAACAGAGGAATAATGAAACTGATTTACTGATTCAAACATTGCTGCAGACTACAGTCTTTTAAATATGGAGTGGTTTCTTCACAAAGAAATCTTTAATACGAATGTATGGTTCTCCCTATGAAGTTAAAGGTGAAATCCACCAATTTTTCAACATTTCTGAATAGTTCAGCCCTTCAGATGTAAACAGCGTCATTCAGAGTGGTTTGATGTAATATGGTTCATTGTGGAGACTCGGATGTCTATACAGCGGTGGTGATAGGAACCAGGAATCACCATGTCTACAGCACAAATATAGCCATTTAATGCACTATCCAAAACTCTAGTGAACCTACTCTTCTGAGTTTTTATATGTTGAAGATGGTAAAATAGTCATCAATCTGAACAAACAGGTTTTCTTTGGGGACTGTTTTGCCCTGCATGTACTCCTCCGCCATGAATGGATTAAAACAGGGGTGTCAAACTCAACCACTAAAGGGGCCATATTAAAAAATCTCAACATATCTGTGGGTCAGAGAAAAAATGTTTTTATTTCATTTTTAATTATTGTTGTGCTGTAACCCAAACTGGCCATTGTTTATTCAAAATATGCAAAAACGTCTGCAGTTAAATATAGGCACTTATAATAGACCTTGAAATGAAACCTACCTACCTGATTGAACTAGACAGCTGGCCTGCTTTCTTTGCTGCAAGTTCATTAAGACTTGGGCTCAGTCTCTGAGCTGCTAAGCGTTAGGTGTTTATGTTGGTTGAAATGCAGCGAGTGTGTTTGGTGATATGACTGGTGTGGAATTGTGTAGAATTGTGTACAAGGTGTAACCGCTGTCCCATTGATTGTTGTTTGGGTAGGAGAGTTGCAGTGCATGCTGGGGACTGTAGTGCAGCGCATTGTGAAACGGGCTAATATTGATAGAAAACTAAAATACTTTTGCGGGCCTTGTGTTTGACACACGAGGATTAGAATAAGTGGATTAAAACACGTTTTAAGCCAATACTTGATCACAAAACTGTCATAAAACGATGTCTCAGACATCAGGCAGTGTATCGAACCATTTCATGTAATACCTTTATGTAAAGGAGCCTTTAGAGACATTAAACTCTCAAGACCACCACTGTGAACAATTCTGACTCTGCAGTTTTCTCTAGAACAGAGCATTTCACATCAAACCTCTCTGGATGACTTTATATCTCTACCATTTACGTATGTAGAATACCTAAAAAAATCTCCAGAGATAAAATTTAAAAATCCACAAAGTATTAAGTGTCAAAATGAAAAAAATGTTGCAAATACAAATAATGAGAACAGAATCAACATATTTTTACTAGTCATCTGTTATTCGACGTTATTTTTCAGGATTCGCGAAGTGGGCGTGGCCAAGTGTTAGAGGATCTGTCACTCCAAACCAGTGGACCAATAGACAGTTCAGGAGAGCGCGTTCCTCTTTACAAAAGAGGAACGCGCGCCTTTCCTTTTTTACAAAAGAACATTCAGAGGTAAAAGAAAAAACAGCATTATTGGAAAATTAAGTCTGTCGAATTTTTAATTTAATATTTTGCTTATGGATTTTATTGAAAAAAAAATTGTGTCTGTTTCAAAATAAAAGCACGTTGACTTTTCTAGAAATGAACCTGGAGAACCGAATGCTGTTAAAGCGTTAAAGCTTAAAGCATAGCTTCAGCTGTATGTTTTGAGCTGCAAGCAGAAGACACATCAAATCATTGCTGCAGTGCCCCCGTGTGGACGAAACCACATTTCATCATATAGCCAAAAATGCTTCTATAATACAAATCTACAAGATCCAAAAAATACCCTCAGATTAAAAAATACCCTCAGATTAAATATTTATAACAGATTAAATATTTATAACTTTTTTATAAATTTAATCAGTCTTTTACAGCAAATGGTCATCAAGTGTAGCACAGTAGCAAAGTAGCTTAATCATTAATTAGTGAACACATTGATCCACCTCAGATGCCCCCATTAAAATATGCTCTATCACAGTCCATACTTTACATAGCAATTAGGGTCTATTCACTGATCTGTCTGCATTAAATTATCATTTTCAGTATGTTTGCAAGCTACGCAAGCTCAGAAAGAGAGAGTAGAAAGATTAAACAGTTATATAGTAGGCCTACACTGATAGCAGTGATGGAGAAAAAGAGCACAGTTGATCAGGACAGCTTCATATCCTTCCCAAAATTAATAAACATCTTATTTTCTGATCACTTTATGAAAATATTTTAGTATTCTTAAACCCCTGTCTACATGGTCAGTCATCCAAGGCATGTTAATAGCTGTGGTAGTTGCTACAGGGCTTGTTAAAGGAAAGGTTTATTGACATCATGGGTTTGGTAATCTAAGCCTGTACACAACCGTTTAATCAGAGCATGATGAATTCAGGTCCATCGTCACAAAATAATAATAGTTCAGTCTCTCCTTTCAGCCAGTGTCTTCTTTCCCTCCTTTGGAATGTGTCCTCCATCAATCTTTTCACTTTTTGCAGCTGAGATTTTTCCATCTCAGTCTTCAGACGTTTTTTCCTAAGAAATGAAGAAAAATAAGAATTCAAAGAAGGATTCCACTTCAGTTTCTGAGTTGCTGTTTTTAAACTTCTTAAATCTTAGTTCTTCTTTTTGCCTTTTTTTTTTTTACTTCTGTAGACGTAGAAGTGCTCATTCCACTGTTCTTCTTCTCTAGATATATTTAGATATATTTCTCCACTCTTGCTTTTCAGATGGGAGATTTTTCTCATGACAACAAAAAACGTATTAAAAGTTTAAGATGTCAGTGAAGATATCAGTTGAGCTTATGTCTAAAATATAGAAGGTAATGCAGTATATTCTGTAGGTAGGGGTAACCTATTACCCTGGTGCATCTGACCACAAAATGTCACATTTTTGCCACTAAAAATGCAGTTTTGCCTTGTCTTGGATATTTTTTGTGTTCTTTTTCCCTTTTAATAAACCTGTTTGGTTAGACAAAGGACTAATCAGACAAACCAGACTTTGTTGCAGTCCAGTTACTGCAACCAACACAATAGCTATCATGATTGTGTGGTGACACCCTCTGGTCCACCTGGCATCATAGTTTGTTATAATATCACTCTTTAAAATAAGCTCTTAAATAAAACAATGTGTTAAGCTTACGCTGGCATTACACTAAGAGGCTATCACTGCAGTAGTTAAACAGTACCGAATTAAATAACCTAGATCAGATGTTGTCAGGGTGGACAAGACTGGCAAGGGGGACCACCACAGTCACCACAATGGCAAAGTGTCAGCAATTCACTATCTGGCCACCGGAGGCCTCACTCTCCCGAGTACTAGCCCTGTTCCCAAAATCAAGCCACCTGTACCTTATCTCCTTAATCAGTCACACCTTATATACTCCTGGCATTCAGCCAGTCAGTGTGAAGTATTGCCAGTTCGTTCGAGTCTGACTACTGAGCGTTTGTTTTCTCTGTCTTCTGGTGTTTTGAACCTCTGCCTGACCTCTGGTATTTGTAATAGGGCAGCACGGTGGCGCAGTGGGTAGCGCTGTCACCTCACAGCAAGAATGGCCTGGGTTCGATTCCCGGCCGGGCGACCAGGGTCATTTCTGTGTGGAGTTTGCCTGTTCTCCCCGTGTCTGCGTGGGTTTCCTCCGGGTACTCCGGTTTCCTCCCACAGTCCAAAGACATGCAGTCAGGCTGATTGGACGAGCTAAAATTGCCCCTAGGTGTGTGTGTGTGTGTGTGACTGTGTATGTCTGTCTGTCTGCCCTGTGATGGACTGGCGACCTGTCCAGGGTGTATCCTGCCTTCCGCCCAATGACAGCTGGGATAGGCTCCAGCACCCCACCGCGACCCAGAAGGATAAGCGGTTTAGATGATGTATGTATGTATGTATGTATTTGTAATATTTATTTATTTTGAAATTCATTTGATTCCATTTTAACACACTTTAACATACCATCCCAATAGTTGTGCAGTGGTAGACAGTAACAAAGTAAATGTAATTCTTTACTGTACTTAAGTAGTTTTTTTCGTGTATCTGTACTTTACTGAAGTATTTCCATTTGGGTGACTTTTTCCTTTCACTCCACTACATTTCAAAGTCAAATATCTTACTTTTTACTCCAATACATTATGCAAAATATAATGTTCCTTTTGGCTTGTATGTGCATACAAACGTAACATCAAAAAGAAAGAAGCGTGAAGGAGCACACCAATCAGGGTTTATACTTTGTTTTAATCTTGTTTTTACCTGTTGGACATACCTACCCAGCGCAAGCATGCAGTTCAACGTCAGTGCAGCAGCGTAAAATTTTGGGAGTGTCTATTCCAACATAAATGATGAACTAACCTAACTTTGTGTAAATAGACCACAATACAGAAATACGTACACATGCAGTTGTGACTGGCATGTTTCTTTTTTCTGAATTTATACAAACACTATTTCATTTTACAGTAAATTTGTTTTGGCTAGTTTATGTTTATGAACAGAGACCTACAGATGCAATATAGTAAAGGTAAACTCATTTGTGAACCTGTGTTTAAAGCAAGTTTTTATTAAACTTGTAACTAATTTGCAAATAAATCTTAAACTGAAACTTTGCTTGTTTGCAAAAAGTTATTTCATAGCCACTTGGTTCTACCTAATGGAAATTGAATAGTTTTGTGCTTTTGATAATTTTAATAGACATCAGAGTCAGACTAATTAATGACATTCTATTAAAATATTGGTATTACAAGAGTGACACACATTTGCCCCAAACCACATCAACTGATGCACTTTTGTCCATTTTTATAGATAACAGTATGTCATACAGGGTCAAAATCCACATGTTCTAT